TTGTACAAATTCAATGACTAGTTTTCAATACACAAATATGCTTATAAACTCACCAGCTTTATCCTGATACATTTTCAAAACCGCTTGTATTCTCAGGACAACGATAGACAGGTACCTTCACCAACTTTTGGAGAAAACGGAGCATTTTTGGAGTATCGTCTTTATCTTTTGCTATATATTGTTATGTACAGACTATGTTTTCAAACATATGTAAATAGTCATATTGTAATGTAATGGTTGTGTTTACTTTGATTGCTATGATATGATTGTTGTGATACTACGCATGACGTCACCCGCCCCCGGACGTTCCCGCTATTGTTTTCTGACGGTTCGGGGGTGTGACAGTTCGGAACGAGAAGAAGCTTTGGATCGAGTGTTCTTTCGGTGCTAGCTGTCAATTGGAGGTAAAAAGCTATATCCTTGATCACTCCTTTTGTTATATCTCTTTCTAGAGATTTTTAGGGTTTTATTCCATCCATGTTCTGGTTTGGAGTTGTTGAACTGGTCATGGAAGTTGACACTAGAGATCTGAGCTATATGAGTCCCTATGAGCCTAAAGATTTGAGCTTTATCAAGCTTTAGGCAAGTATTCAAGCATAAAGACCTTTATGGAGGTTGTTTTGGCATTTTAAGCCTATATGTTATGCATGAACATAAAGCTTGTAGCTTTACGCGATGATTCAGCCTTAGGATGCTAGTTCCAGAGTATGAGACCTTATTTCTGTCCAAAATCGTCTGAATGAGGAAATTGACCGAAGAGACTCGATGATTTGGTAAGCCGACTCGACGAGTCGGTTAAGGTTTACCCCGATGGTTTGGACGTGTTACAGACTCAACAAGTTGGTGAGACAACTCGACGAGTTGAGAGGGTTTTACACGTCTTTGGATTCATAGTGGAATCGACGAGTTGATAAGAAATTTCGGCGAGTAGGTGGGGTTCCCTGGCCTTCTGGACGTTGCATGGACTCGATGAGTTAGCTTGCAACTCAATGAGTTGAATTGGGTTTTCATGATTTACTGAGTTCTGAGGGACTCGACGAGTTCATGAGCTGTACTCGGAGAGTTGAGTCAACATGGAGTGTTAGCTTGGGTGTGGACTTCCATTGACTTTTAGAGTTGGATAAGTTTTGACTATTAACTTTCGTTGACTTTAGGGTTTTGGTCAATTGTGGATTTTGGAGGCCATGGAAGGGGCAGATATTTAACTCGCAGCTCGAGTGTGGGATACGTTTCTTTACTCTGCAAGGTGAGTCTTCTCATTATACATACCTAATTGGTACTACTAAGTCTAATTGGTACTACTGAGTGACCAGAGGGTCTTATTTGAGTTATGTGATATCATGCATTTTGTCGTTGTGATATATGTTATATTATTCTATACTTTACTGAGTAGGATTGGAGGGTCTTCACGGAGACCATGACTGGAGGGTCCATACCGAGCCGTGAGACCGGAGGGTGCTCACCGAGACGCATGACCGAAGGATCCATGCCGAGCTATAACCAGGAGAGGCTTATTATTTGTGTGTGGTATCTTGGGAAACTCGCTAAGCTTCGTGCTTACCATGTTGTGTGATATGTGTTTCAGGTACTTTTTAGGATCGTGGGAAGGCACCGACTTGATTGTACACACTGGTTAGAGATTATGATTTCGAAGATTCTGGGATTTTATCAAATATTGTTGGCTTGTGTTTTGACAACTTATACCTTTTGTGATTTTTGAGAAATTGATAATGAGTAAATGTGATCCTAAAAATGAAAATTTTATTTGAAAGTTTACGGTGTTACATGAATGGCCTATTGACCGGGTAAAGTTGTTAAATTGAATATGATTACCGGTTTTTGTGACTTAATTGACTAAAAATATATGCTGACAAAATCTAATAATAATATTTAAGTTTAACTTTTTAATTAAGTATTAAATGATTATTTAATAGATAACAATAAGTCAATAACACTTTAGTTATTTTAAGAACTTACATCTCTTTCTATTATAACTAGATAACTTTGTATATGTATAACTCCGGTTCCAACCTTATATCTTATAATATAGTTCAACATAATGATAATATTTAAAATTATTTTAGGATTTATAATAAAATTATTATTTAATTGTTAATAACAATGATTTAATTAATTTTTATTTTAGATTTATTATAAAATTATTATTTAATTGTTAATAAGAATGATTAAGTTATTTTTAATTTTATACATTTTAAATATTTTAACTTGGTAATTTTATAACTATACAACACCCATGCATCCACCTAGTATTATATATTGGAAAACAACAAAATAATGATAGGAATGACATGTTGATAGTGGTTTTTAGCGGAACCGATATGAATACTTAAACAACAAAATAATAAGTGTCGGTGTTATTATTATTTAAATTTAGACTAAAGTAGACTAAAGTAGTGAAATGGTTCTTTTGTTTTCATTAAATGTGATCCTTGATAAAAGAAATTGATAAGTTGTATCTTCTTGGTTCGTGAAAATTACATCGTCCCTATTGAAAAAGAATGATTTATCCCTATTATATAAACTTCTAATTTTTTATACTTATTTGCAATTTTTTAAAATATAAAAAGAAAAAGGTTACACATCAACCCCAACATACACTTCGTCTTCTTTAGAGATCGGTTAGCTAGTCTAAATGAGACAAATGTTGTGTAATTTCATCTTCTATTTTCCTTATCTTAGAGCAACTACAAACCAGAGGTGTAAAGATGGATGTGAGATGAGAACAAGTCCAGATCAAGACCATAAATATGACTTTTATAACGGTAGATCAAGCCCATATTACAGTTGATATATGCTTGTTTTCAAAGTCAAACTCAAATAGATGTTCTTGTACTTTGATTTGCATAATTTTCTTTGATTTTCTTGTACTTTGAGGTGGTGTTGTATTACATATCTAACAAATTACTCAAATTGTTCTTGTGGTTTGCATAAATTTCATGTTTGCTTTCGATCTTTTTTTTTCGAACCATTCTTATAGTTTGTTTTTGTTACGTCTTTATCCCTACCAAATTTAAAAAAACTATATTACCCTTTGTCTTTGTCTTTTTCTTTTTCATTTTTTATATCGCTGGTTTGTTATTAATTAATAATTATTAATTATTACATAAACTTGAAATAGAACCCAACCCAAAACCTACACCCCACCATCCCCATATCATTCTCGCTCATTTCAGTCCTTCTTCCATTGAAGAAGGGCACGACTAGCTCTAAACCCTCCCACCAGAAGCTTAATCAAGAGATAAAGATACGTTAGATGGGGTGGGATCGTGTGGTATGATTAGCGGATGTGGGTGTCCCTTCTTTTTAATTAATAATAATAGAAATTACAGTAAAAATATGAGGAAAAAAAGGGGGAGGCAATTTAGTGTTTTTACATTAACAAATGATCAAAACCGCAACAAAAACAAACTATAGGGATGGTCGGAGTGCAATATATATACCAAACATGAAATTTATGCAAACCTCAAAGACGATTTCAAAAATTTGTTCATTGATATTTATAACTTTGCAATTTACATTGTCTACTATATAATAGCTAATAAAAATTGGTTTTGTGGAATGTAAAGAGATACTAAAAATCCGATGAAGAAATACAAATATTTACAAATGTAATAGGATATTTAAGGAGAGTAAGAATATCTTTAATGGTTTTTTCACACATTAATTTAAACAAATGCAATGAGTGTGGCATTTACATACATATAAAATGAAATACAAGGAAAGTATAGTAACAAAATGCAAGCTAGGGATGCGACTGAAATGATTAAAAAATAACATAACCTTTATTATGATGCATAAATAAGAAAAATAAAACGAAACTTAATAGTAAAAATAACAAAGGATGTCGAGTATTAGATATGAAATCGACTTGGAAGTTTCAAAATCTTATTCTAATAAATGAAGTGTTTTTTTTTTGTCATATGTCATATTTTTATTCAATTTGTCAAATGTCACTTTGTGTTTATTTTGAATTAATTTTTTTTTCCATATGTCATTTTATGAGTTTTTCTATTTTATTAAATTTCGTATAATATTTTAATATCATAATTACAATAAATGTAGTAATAAATGATTATCAGTTTCATTAATTAAGTTATCTTTTAATTTTAAATTTCTAAAATTAAAGTCATTAGTTTCTTTTGTTTATTTATTTAAATTATTTGTTTAAATTTAAAAATTAAAAAAATCAATAATAATAATTCATTATTTTTCTTGTTTTCTTATATATTCAAAGTTCTCAAATATTTTTACTTTTATTTAACTTTTTTTTAATTAAATCATTTACTATATGGATCTCACAACTAGTACTATAATATATATTTCATCCATCCCAAAATTATTGTTTACGTTTAACTTTTTAAGTTTTTTTTGTTCAATTTTGACCTAAAATAAGTTACTTTTCATTATATAATTTTTTATGTAAGATATATGAATAGATTGTTTTTTAAATGTATTTTAATTGTTATAAGTTTCATCAAAAATTATATAACACAAATAAAATTATTTATGGTCAAAGTTGACATAAAGTATTAAAAATCATAATTTTTAATATCATATATTTTCGGATATGGGATATCCAAGTATTTGAATATTTTTAAAATCACTATCCAAATCCAAAATCGGATATAAGATACCTGTTCGGATTTTCGAATCCCCTATCTGTTATTGTCTATGTTAAACATCTGATAATTAGTTCCACAAAATATTGACGAGTCTTGATCAATTCCAGTCAAGAAACTCCCAAGACTAGTTATGTGCACATTATAGTGGAATAGTGTGTTTGCCCTATAATGGATATAAATAATCATATTTTAATATAAACATTTTCTATGTTGATAAGAACAACCAAGAAAGTGACATTTTATTGATAAACTATAAAACTTGCACATGCCTACCCATAAGCAGACACAAATAACTGTTGAACGTGTTGATAGATCCACATTAGAACATAGAAATATTTTAACAAAAGACTCTCTTGCTCACTGAAATGTGGCATCCAATTCCTCGCTAAAGATGGAAAGAAGCGCATCCATTTGTATTGCAGGAAGGGACACACCAATTTCAATATCAGCATCCGACTCTTTTGAAGCATTAACAGAAATCATACTAAAATAATCGATTGATATGGTCTCATGTTTTTTCGGCTTACCCCATCCAAAATCCACATCATAGAACTTTATCTTCGGTGATCCTGACACATTAAACCCTCGCACTGGCGTAAATAGCGACTTAATCAACTTCTCCGCATCTTCAATCACTCCATTCTTCTTCTTTAGTGTTTCGCTTAAAGTCTTTCGAATTAACTCAACAGCAGTAACAAATCCATTGTCGCCTGCTAAGACTGTGGTTTTTACTTTTGCTGTGAAAGATGCGCCTACACAGTTACCAAAATAAGTTTCAGGAACCGGTGGATTCAAGCGAGACCTCCAATTCACACCAAAAAGAATCCTTTCTACGTCATCCTCTCCCTTCCTTTCTCCTATATGAACATAAGATTTGGCTATGCAATGCCACATATAAGCACATGCCACCGAAAAAGATGATACGTATTCCTGTTTTGGCAGTTGAGTGGATAACCAGTTCTTTAGCCCATTGATGCGTGCTTGGGTCAAGACAAAGGTGACCCGGACTTTATCTGTAGGGCTAACAAGCTGAGGAGGCTGGTATTCCATATTAATAGCTCGAGTCCCGGGTATATTTAAGGAGACTTCATCTAAGGAGCTCGGGTATTGAATGACTCTTTCATAAAAAGGTAAAGATCCACTAGCTAAGAGAAACTCATCTGTACCATGTTTAGCAATCGAGCTCCATGCCTTGACGAAATGATACCTTGTGCTTGCATCAGCAAGGGAGTGGTGGTTGGTGATCCCAATAGAGAAGCCGGAGTTAGGAAAAAGTGTAACTTGCGCTGAAAAAGTTGGGATGATAAGGTAGTCGGATCCTTGTTTTGCATGTCCCAATATAGGTACAAGTGGATAAAACATGTCACATTTACGAGTATGATTTCCTATAAGATCATTGAAATCAAGAGTACACTCGGCAATGGTAAATGCAACAGAGTCGCCCTCTACATGACGTATTTCGGGTTTTTTTTCAACAGTATTAGGAAATAGAATTATGTTTCCAGCAAATGGGAAGAAGTGTTGAAGAGTGATTGATAATGAATTTTTGAGGTTTGGGACAATTGTTTCCAAGAAATGTTGTTTAGAGTGGATTGAGTCATAAAAGAAAACCTGGTGGACAGGGTAGCGGGAAAGCCAAATCGTGTCGAAGAAAGTAAGCGGGAGAATCCTGTCGCCAACGGTGGCAGGAGGCGCAGATACTTGGCTATTCTCAAGAACAGTCAGCATATTTTTGAGTGTTTTGGATTATGCCAAAGTTTCTGGTTGATGGACATTTATATAACCATGACAAAGATAGAGTTTACTTTTTTTTAATAGAAAGTAACATAGTTTTTACAAAATTTATAAAATTGGAGTTCTGATCTCTTAAATAGCTGAGGCTATTTCATCAATTTTTCTACAAATAAAGGCTATCTCGGATATAAAATTATAAGGTTTTTATAAAACTAATTGTTTTTATATTTATATTTCTAATTTAATTTAACATTATACTACAACTTTAATATGATTCTTTTTTTTTTTTTGTTTAATCTTATTTTATGTTTATTTTATTCTTAGTTGATTTTGACTACCTAAAAAAGGGTAAGCTATGTGTTAAACAATAAGAGAAAAAGAGTTAATGTTTTTCCATTATGTATGGATAAAACGTTTTTATTTAGTAACTTAATGTTTTTACATTAAGTATAAATGCATAAAAGGTTTTAATTAATAGCTGATAAAAGTTTTATTTAATAACTCATAAAAGTATCCAACTATTTTGACGTGTAGCGTTTTATTTACTCTGTACCTTTTGGAAATTAACAACTTAGCAATACAATTGCAAGCCCAATTCACCTCAACTAAAATCATATATTTTTTTTTATAAACTGTACTACAATATATTATTTTTTAATATTGACATGTTTAAAATAAAATGGTGTTGCATATTGTTTTAAATGTATCCAAAAAAAACCAATAATTTATACAGTTTATATATATATATATATATATATATATATATATATATATATATATATATATATATATATATATATATATATATATATATATATATATATATATATATATATATATACACACACGAGTAATGCATAAAGGTTGTGGTAAACACGATGCACCATCTATGTAAGACTTTACTTAAAACCAAGATTGAATAATAAAACACTGAAAGTAAGTTGCTATTACGGATAGGAAAGTTAAAGTGCATTGCTACAACAAGCAAATACAATATGATGTGATAAAAATAATTAGGTTCAACGGTACTTCATATAAAAGAAATCAGTAACATTTTGTCTTTTGATAACAAGCTTATTATGAGGTTAAAACTATACAACAAACCCAAGGATAAATTCCATGAGTATTTTTAAGGCAATCCTTACTCAAATTTCCTTTCTCATTAGATATAACACACAATGAGATGGATAAGGATTAAAAAAGAAGTATCAATGAAAATTACCATTAAATTAACTGATGTAAAAAACTTGTTAAATGATATATTGTTAGTAAAAAATAATAATATTCATAAGGATTAAAAAAGAAATACAAATGTAAATTATGAATCATCATTATTCTTATCTTGAGCAACATACGTCCTCAAGCTCTATAAAGAAACACAACCTTGAGTGACATGATTACCATCACATACATATATTCCACAGTTATTTTTTGGGTAACATATATCATCAAGAAGCTAAAATATTGCAGAGTTGGGTTGTCACACCCCGCTAAAGCGGAAACGCAAGGTATGACAGCGATAACGGTTTCAATGCAAAAGATAAAGATACATCACCATAGCAGTATTTAAAAGTTTACAACCCATAGCTTCAAAAGAAACAAAATACAAGTTTTTTTTTTTTTAAATAACATTGTTCAAAATATAGCTTCATAATAGCTTCAACACGATGCAGCATGCTCTATGATGATGAATCTTTACATCCACTTACTAATTACTTCCTGAAAAAGCATGTAAAACGAGCATCAACTATGAAAATAGTTGGTGAGTATCACAAGTTTATAAAAATCGAGCGTACAATAAGGCTTTTCGTAAATACAAGTACATTGCTTCAATGATAAACAAGTTGATTGCTATTAATGAATACAAGTTTATTGCTATAACGAGAAACGAGTTTGTATGTGTATGAGCAAACAATGAGTCTCAACCAAACCTATGACTGAAGCCCTATCGAGATCTATGCTTATCGTTCCATAGATGAATATGGTATCATGCACTCCAGCGATTCGGGCGAGTGAGGAGTTGTCAATTCCTAATAGCGCTATCCATAACGACCATTGGCTCAAAGAGTTAATGGTTAGAGATAAGGGAAGGGCCTTAGTACGATAAGTTCTCATGTTCCGTGTTGCATAGACATACATAAAGAAACATAGCAATACAATAGCAATCATGTTTGATACAATTCAATTTAAATACAACATGCAAACAGTAGTTTTTCTGGACATGCTTTTCCACCCCAAAACATAAAACCGAAAATAGGGGAGTGCGTGAATACTCACGATGTTTTGTGTAGACACAAGCGGTACTTCGGGATGCACCAACGTCTTACTACCGGGATCCTACGACATCAAACACACGCACTAGTGAGTTTCCATGTCGATATCTAATGCTAATATACTAAACTCTACATATAGGGAAATGCCAATTTATGTTTTAGTATTGGATTTTATATCAATTAGTTACACTTTTTCTGAAGTAATGAAATTCTATATATCGGGCGATTAATTACAACCTTGGAATATAAACTTTCCAAATTTTTAAGTCCTTATTACAACATAAATTCACGAAAATAGCATTCGAGGGATAAAAATTCTCAAACTTTTTATTTAACTGTTATTACACAATACTAAGCTGGGAAAATTATAAAAATGGATTTCCAAGCTGTTTAATTATATTTTATGATTTTTGAGCATTTATTTCAATAAAAATTGAAATAAATAGAAAACAGTTTCCAAAATTACCCAAACTTTTTATTTAATTGTTATTATACATAAATAGGCTGGGAAAAATATAAAAGATATTTTTCAGTGGGTATTTCTATTTTTCCTTGCTTTATTCCTTTAAATAGTCATTAATTAAAGAAATAATATTAAACAGTTAAAATAAATCACCATAAATTTTTGTAACATCATTTACAGTATAAATATCCTGGGAAAAATATCAAAAGTGGTTTTCATAATGTATAAACTGGTTTTGGGTATTTATGTATATTTAAGTGTATTTTAGTGCAATTAACTTTAGAAAATAAGAGAAAAATAGTTTACAGTAGAGAAAAATATTCAAAATTTTTATGTAACCTCCTACTCTATAATATTATATCCTGGTAAATTTTCATGAATTTTGGATAATCAGAACTATTTCTCCCATTTTTAGACCATTATAATTACCAAAAATTGGGAAAAATAGTAAAACATGATGGAAAATCTTGAAATTATTTTCTGGAGTCACCCATCACAGGTAAGGTATGCGAAAATTGTTAGATACAATTTTCACATCCTATAAAGTGGTTTTGTAATTTATCATGTCCTAAAAAAAAAAATTAGAAATCATATGAAACAGTAACAAAAATTGCTGAAATTTGGTGAGGGTCATTATTCCCCATAAGGATCATCCATGAATTTATTTAGGATTTATTGACCTCTGGAAGTATTTTATATGATTTATGCCCTTGGTTTTAGCAATAATTCTAATAAATCAAAGAAATAACAAAAGCTCTTGAAATTTTCCAGATTATCTCATGCATGCAAGGGCTTTCAAAAGGAAAAATGTAAAAAAATGTATTCAGAAGAGAAATGAGGGTAATGATTCCAAACAATTTAAGAAAAGTTGCATGCAATAATGCATGAAGTGTAAATGTGGCTGAAGTTCATGAATTTGTGTAGCCCATTCAGTGAGGTTTTAAGCCACGAAATTTCAACCATAATTCACTAGATATGTTAAGTTTCTAAGGTATTTTTCCTCAGATTTATGGTTGGGTTTAAGGCCATTGTTTAAGCAAGATAAAAATAGTGATCACAGAAAAAGAGCTGTATGCGCAACCTTTTTGTAAAATCTGCTAAAAATCGGATATTTAATATTTTACAGTGAGACCAGTTGGGTTTGAAAGTTAACTCGTGGAACTAACCAATACAAAAAGAATATCATGATTTGGTTAAGAAATGACTGAGTTATGACTGTTCAAAGTCGAACAAAGTAATCTGGCAGATTGCATGTTTGCTTGTGTGCATTATTAGGGTATTTCAACAAGAACATCATGCATGTCTTTGGTAAGGCCCGATTTCTAACACATGCATGGAATGAATGAGCATCCAAGATGTACTAGAAATGGTTTAAATGCTTTTGTTCATGCATGAACACAAAAGAAATGGAGAAGAACATGAAATATTAGGTTTTGATGTCACATGATCATATGTGCATCTTTTCCACTCCTTGCATGGGTTTGATCCCGGATTTTCACCATCTCTAACACATGCATTGTGTTATGGTGAGAATCTACAAACCACAAGGGGAGAATAAAGATTTCTAGCCATGGAAAGGCATAGAATCCGAAAAGTAGAGAAGACTAAGAAGAAAAAGAGGTTTAACCATGAAACTATGGAAGAAGATGTTGTTGTTTACCTTGGTTTTGACCTTGAGAGAAGTAAGAACACTTCAAGGGCTTCACAATCTCGAAATTTTGCAGAGAAATGAGAGGATTTTCGTGAGTTTAGAGAGAGGGAAGAAGAGAGTGAAGTGTGTGAAGAGAGTGAAGTGAGAGAGTGAAGAGGGAAGAGGTGGAGTAAGGGTTTAAGCTTAATGATTGTGTTTTGGGGAAGAGAGAGGGCATGGGGAGAGGTGATGGCCGGTTTTTGCATGCATTTTGGCCTCCTCTCTCCTAAATTTTAAACTTTATAAACTTCCCTCCTATATTTTATATAAAAACATTCATTTTTATAAAATGTTTATTAAGCAATTTGATTTATTTAAAAATCTTGTTTTCAACAAATAATTTATGATTAATACTTGTAATTTATATTTCTAGTTCATTGGTATAATCCATAATTTGATTAATAAAATTTGATATTAGGAAGTTTATAGCCAAATTTTATAAAGTTTTTAAGCTTTATAATTTATAACTTTGGATTTTTGGCTCTTTAGGGTTTTTGGAATATTGTTTGATATTCAACAACATGTTGAAGTATAATTAGAATGTTTTAATTTATTTTTAGAGTTTTAT